TCGCGGGGAGTAATTGTAATGAATCTGTATGACGTACACTCTGCTATTACTCAAGAAGACGATGATGATCGATAGCTGTAGTAGCAGCTCGCGCACGCCGTTCGCTGGTAGCCAGACCTGCCTCATAAAACATGTTTCGCCAAGCTGCGTCTGAACCTTTCTCGACGTACAACACCTCTATTTTAACTTGTTTTATTGTGACCATTCTCACCAACTAAACTGTATTGCAAGTGTACGCTCGGTGGAATACAACACACTAGTATCATAATATTTAAAAAACATACATTTAATAATTTATCTTGATACCATGTTATGTAACCAAATTTCATGCACAACTTATCAGTCACATTTGTGTTTTGCGACACGCCAAATGATCATGCCACAATTGCAGTCAAGATCTATAACAGTAAACAATTATTTGTATAATTATTTTTATTTTTTTTCGTGTCATTAGTTTACTGGAAATGAACACGCAGCCTGGTCAAAAGATACATATAAAATCAGAGAAAACCGAGGAGTATGTGGCACGCTGTTTTTAGTCACGGAGCAGAGTGAACGAATAAGGCGAAATGTCCTGTCGCATAAAAACATTCTCAGCAAACTTCACGCAAGTTACTGCAGAAACTAGTGTTCCTCAACTAGCAGTGAAGTATAAAGCCTTTTTTCGGCGTCTTTCCCGAACTGAAAATAAACTAGATTCACAGGTCACATTCAGTTTCTGCTAAGGTACACTTCCTCAGATCAGCATGGCGCATTAGACAAGCAACGAAATACCCGCAAGTACTATGCTAATGCCAGGCGCATAGCCATACTTTTTTTTGGGGTGGGAGGGGAGGCACTGCCTTAATTTCCGGGGGCACCGTCTTAAAATGGCCATTTTTCGCTCTCTATGCCACGGCAAAAAATAAAACTTCAGGGGGAGGAGGGGGGCAAGTGCTCGGTGTGCCACCCACTGGTTACGCCCCTGGCTAATGCTAAAAGCCCGGCCATGCTGTGCGTTCAACGCGCGCGAACCGAAAGCGCTTGGAAAGGATGAGGCGGAGCCAGGTCTCGTGATGCGGTAGGCCAATCGCATTGGCGGCGGTGACTTTAACCGAGGCACCCTATCATCGCTCCCTGAAGGGGGGCCTGCGCACACCTACAGTGCTTGTCATTCTTCATGCTCACAAAACTGGCACCAGGATTGAATAGGTAAACCGTGCGTCAGAAACAAAAGAAGTGCATGGCACACCTTCTTGGTGCCTTTTCATGAAAGGCTACATAGACGAAGGCCATCGGCGCGCACAAACATGACGTCATGGACGTATATGGCAGCTTATATGATTACGCCAAGTACAGTCACCCGGTGATCAACCTGTCCAGTGTAATAACAAGAGATCAGATTATAGGCTCATGCCTTGCGATCCTATCGTGCCATTTTGATGTATGAGCATGAATTATAGGTTAATAAGGGCTTTTATGGTGTTTTTATAGTGCCTATAAATGCCTATTTTGGGTGTTTGCGCCTAGATGCCTATAAGTGCCTATAAATGCCTACTTTCTGAATGAGCGCCTAGATGACCACTATTCAAGCCCAAATTTTGTTTTCGGGCGCGGTGTGAAACCGTTATTCATGTAAAAAAGGCAACATTGATATTTCTAAACACTATAAGGTTCGACGAAGAGAAAGATGACATGCTGTAAGCGATTGGAGGAGGAGTACGAGGAGTGCAAAAGACGCTATTTCTGCAGACCTAAGTGGAAGAATGTCTCAGCGTCTGCAGGGGAAGGAGGAAAGAAAATTAAAGATGGGGTAGGAAAACAAATGGGACGTCTATGGCCAAGGACGCGGCGACTGCCTTCTACAGACAGCTGTCCAGTTCCCAGAAAGAACTGAAGAACTGCCCTGAAAACCTCGGTGTTGCGGTGGGAAAGGAAGAGCATGTTTTTCTGGGCAGCCGGGTGTAGCTGGAGAACGAATGAAAAACCATGGAGGGCCACTCATGCTATTGTTGATTAAGTAGTGGCGAAGGTCACCAAATCGTTATACTTTACACAGCGAAGCCTGCGACAGGCGCCGGCATGTTTACAATGAGCGGTGTATTTGGCATACATTCACCGTATGCTTGAATACGGTTGTTCTGTACGAGATCTCTCGTCATATGTCTTCAAGTAACAAACATAAAAAAATATCGAGCAGGGCTTCAAGGTTTGTTTTAAGCCATTACTCAAAATGATAGCTGCGCAACAATATGAAAAATGAACTGGGATGGGAATTACTATCATCGCGTCGAATTGAACTGCAGTCAAAGCTGCTATGTCAAACATTTCATGATAAAACTCGCATTGGAAAATGAATGTACCTAAACAGTCGTCTTTTCACAATGGTAATTAATATTTTAGAATGTTGTATCAGCCATAATTTTTCTCATTCTTTTTTGTTAGTTTCATGACAATGAAATGGCTTATAAAGAGAACAAAGTGCGTTGTGTCAATGAAGGTGTGTTTTCTTTGACATTGTAACCCATCTGCTGCAGTGCCTTTGGGTAAAAATGTGATATGCACGTGGATTTTATTTAGTTTGCAATTTAATTTTTAAGTGTCCCTCTCTAGGTGACATAATAAGTTGTAGTTAGACACTAGAAGTTCTTGCGTGCCCAATAAAAAGTGTTCTACCACGGTCATTTTTCAAATTGGTCCACTACGAGCCAGCAAAGCATGATGCGAAGAAGCAAGCTTGAATCCCTCGCCTCTCGTCCCATGTAGCCATCGCGAGCCTAATTCCTCCCCTGTTCTCTTCAGTATCAAGGCTGGAGAATCACATGACACATACGCACCAAGAACAACATGCGTATGCAGGGTCACGCGTGCATGATGTGCCCCAGCGTATACTTGTGCATGCACGCCATTGATGTGTCGTTTTGGCGTTCTCTGTTGTGTATTACCCATTTCTGTGGGATGGATCAGTCAGTGCATGTACTTTAGGAGAGTCTGGCAAGGATCGTGTATTGTGAGCCTGATACACCGCGTCGCTCCGCTAAAAATGCGGTCAGAGACGACGCACCAAACATAAGCTAAGCGTTGTCAGGGTTGGCGAGGGCACGATGCAGGAACGACGAGAAGACGAACACAAGCGAAATGGCGTAGTAGTAGTAGTAGTAGTATGTGTTGTTTTACGTAAAAAAAAAACACAGTAAGAGTATGAGGGATGCCGTAGTGAAGGTCTCCATAAATTTTGATCATTGGTGCTCTTTAACGTGCACTGACATCGTGCAGTGCATGGGCATCTACTTTTCACCTCCATCTAAAATGTGACTCACACGGCCACAATCGAACCCGCAGCATTCGAGTCAGCAGCGGAGCACTCTATAGCGACTGGTCCACCGAGGCGGACGCGAATCTAGGGCCGATTAGTGAATAGCATCTCAAGGCTATTCAAAACAAAAATAGAAATAATAACAAGCTTCCATTTCCATGTTTTATTGCTTTTATTAGCTTTCATTCATTATACTGACTTTGAAAGGGCAGTGCAATGACACAGGGAAAATAAAGACATGGAAACAAAGAGTCCTGTCTTTCTTTTCCCTTTGTCTTTGCACTTCCCTTTTAAAATGTTATGAAGTAGCTAGCCCAAACCAAAGTACTCCTCATTCATGCTACACAACAGACCACACAAATTGCACACGCTAAGCAGAGTAATGTCACGTGCAACACTCTTAATGAGGTATTGTTTAAAATGCAGGATATAATCAGGAAACAGGTCATTCTTTATCTGTTTTTCTAGCTATAGCTAGCATTTAACGAAGTTCTGTACAGACAAGCATTCAACATACCCGAGTAGTCCGCGTAAACCATTAGGGAAGGCTTAAATTTTTAAAAAATCTGTCAATTCAGCGCGACGACGAAATTTTCCGCTGAGAGGCGGTGCCACTCCCTCTGGGTGCATAGTGGTTTTTCTCTTCACATACGGATCTGCAGCACTGTTTACCCCATTCTTAATGGTCGCGGCGTTTATCGATCGGAGAACAACGCGAGCTCGTGAAACAGCAAGGAGGGCAATTGTTACGCGGAATCAATAGTACTAAGCAGAGCGCCGTAGGCCGGTGATGTTATTCGCACAAAACAACTGCATCTGCGAACAGGCGCAGGGTGCGCATTTGTGGAATTGCAAGAAAACACCTCCTTAACTCGTGGGTACAGAAGCTCATTGTTGTGGTGATGGCACCGTTAAATGAGCGCGCACCATGAAAAAAAAAAAAAAAGCAGCGTTCAACAGGTTTCTCGAAAAAATGCCCAAGCACACATTATGGCGAGAGACAGATTGGCCTGAGAACCGGAAGCGTGCGCACAACCTTGCGATGGACTACACCACACTGCAAACCTATTTAAAGCAGCGGCAGGGTCATTTCAAATTGAATTCGATTACTGTGCCCGGACAGTAGCGTTTACCGCAGGCGCGTTCCTTTCGACAAAAGAATGGTGGCCGTACGAAACACAATTGGCAGCCGAGAAAATAGAACAGGCCCAGGTGAAATGCAAATGCCACGTCTTAGCCACGAATCAGTTGTTGACTTAGGCGGCTCATTCTTCCGTGTCACACACCGCACTTTTCAACCATGGCGGCTGCGTTGCGGGCATAATCTTAGCGCAATGAATTGTGCAGTGCAACAGTAGTGTAAGCAAGCGCCAGCTCGGAGTCTCGGTGCATATTTCGACGTGGCTAATAATTGAAGAGTGCAGTAAAATGAAAATCTACGGTCAGGGGGATGGCGCTACACGCAACTAGGCAAGGGTCGCAGTTGCAGCACCTCCCATGCATTTAAGCCCGCAGCGCGAACACATTACTATTGCGACGCACGCGCTCAACAAGCAGTCACCGATTGCCCCGTTAGATCACGCACCGACAAATGACCAGCTCTGTGCAGCGAAGACGAGCACCGTGAAACTAAAGAATGGTCTGACGTGCCGCACGGCTCTCACTGTAATAAGAGAACAAAAGAGCGCTTGCTCAGGCCGCTCACCTGCACCAAGTCATATTAGGCATTTTGCTGGTATCAACCATAAATTTAATCACTCTTTAAATGGGTTCTTTCGCAAAAATTTAACACATAGCGCCCCCTACAAAAGGCGAAGCTGGCTAACGCCTCCTCTAGAAAGATGCCTGAGGAATGGCTCGCGCTCCCAGCGGAGTTGGCCTGCCTTCAGTTTTAAAAAAGCTCCGCGCAGTGGCGCTCGCGACCACAACAGTTTTTCAAAGCACTGGGGTTTAGGGACCGGGAGGGCAAAATAGATTTTAAGCGGATAGATTTACCTAGAAGAAGGTTATCTGATTGGTGGCTAAAGTCAAGGCACAAGTGAAAATTAACCTGTTCACTGTAAAAAACGAATCCTCAAACTCGCTTTTTAACGAAAAAAAAAATCTATTTTTTGGTTCATTAAGTATTACGGCTTGGCGGCGCTAGCCACCGCCCGATCTAAAGGGTACAAACCATATTCAATCATCCATTATTATGGTGACGGGCGGAAGCGGTACCAGTTGAGCATTTTTCATCTGCGGCCCCTAGGGGCGCGTCAGTCGAAAGTTATTTGAGACCTGCAACTGTGCACCACTGTTTTGGAGGCTATGCAAAGTGTTGCGTTGTTGCACCGTCCGCCACAAGTGACGCTAGACACCGAGAACATTTTCAAAATGAAGAACGGAAAGTGTGTGGCAGCTGTTTTTTTTCCTCTTGCGGCAGGCATCATTCTAGAGGAGGCGTTGAGCTGGCGCTACTAGCCTACTAGAGGTAGAGGTGTGCGCCGAGGTGATTTCGACCGGCAGCGGCGTGGGGGTCATACAGAGTCGGCGGCGGCGGCGTTGTCGGCGCACGCCGGTTAATTCATCGGCGGCGGCGGCGCCGGAGGCGTGGAAACCGAAACTAAAAATTCAAAAGGTTCTTCTGCCAGAGGTTGCTGAATTAGTTGAAATTCAGGGATTTTCATCCAAATAGCACTAATGACACTACAAAGATGTGTCGACATCACGATGAATGCAAAGATTTTTGTAAAATAGTTTTTCTTTCGATTTCGCATTTCAATTTATGTCCATGTTCTACCACGAATGTGCAGCACTTTGCTTGTTTTTTTTTTTTTAATTTAGGATGCGGCAGTTTGTTTCTGTTGTTGGATACGTCATACTTCATGAAGCCTTCTTTCATTGAACATTGAGCAAGCACCGACGCACGTCACCCAGTTCGCTTTTTCCGAACTGGATCTCACTTTTACATTGTACGCTGCACGAAAAAAGAAGCACCTCTGCTACGAAATTTCTTATTTCGATTGCAGGAAACCGCTCTTTTGAATATCTGTCATGCCTTGAATGTTACATTCCTTCAAACAAATCGAAATACCTACGTTTCACAATATGAGAATGTTTTATGTAGCGGTATAACATGCGGAAGAAAACATATCTGCGAATTTAGTCAACTAGTCCTCACCGTTGTGTTCAATGAATGAAGTGTAGACAAAAGCGTGGTGCAAAAGGGGCACTTGACCGCTTCAAGCTGCACCAGCACTTGCTACCCACTTTAGCGACAGCAACACGACCCCCTCCCTCAGCCATGATACAAGTTGAAAGAAGGGTTTCCTTACACCCAAGACAAAAACCTGTCGATGGCCATATGTGAAGATGAGAGCAAATGCAATATTTTCTCAGATGCACAGTCCATACTGGTCATGACCTGGACGCTCGTTGACCACGCCTGCAGAGAACGTTTACTCCCTGACCCCTTTGTGCTCGGTCAGGGGAGGGGGACACCCCTTGCAGGTGGGCCCCATCAAAATTTCTCTTAAAAACGTCACAAATAAGAATGCTTGATAAGTATGTATATAACATTCAACTTTTTAATGCTTTTTTTGTAGCGTGTACACGTGCTCAATACCCATCAGGTGTGTTAGACAATTTAAATCGCAACTGCCACTCTCGACTGGTTCTGGAAAAGACTCAATAGAAGAATGCAATTACGAGTGCTGGGAACCTACGTTCATTTGTCAATTTGATTTCTAGGCACAATTATAATTCTTATATAAACAAAAATAAAACCTGCAAAATATTAAAACAAAATGGCTGCTATTGCAAGATGTGTGCCCCCCTTTCATGATTTTTCTAGACTTACGCTTCTGCAAGCCACATCTGGTGTCACAAACTTGCAAGTGTCCCCCCTCCTCCCCAAGACATCTCCCAATACTCCCCTCTCCCCAATAAAAAGGCACCAATGTAGGCATCCGTAAGCCTCCGTGATTGCCTACTGGCACGCAGCGGGCCATTTCGGTTGCTAGGACCAACAGTATCGATTTCGACATGCTTTATTGAAGGTGCTGAAGGATCAAGAAAGGCCCCGCCGTGGTGGTCTAGTGGCTAAGGTACTCGGCTGCTGACCCGCCGGGCGCGGATTCGAATCCCGGCTGCGGCGGCTGCATTTCCGATGGAGGCGGAAATGTTGTAGGCCAGTGTGCTCAGATTTGGGTGCACGTTAAAGAACCCCAGGTGGTCTAAATTTCCGGAGCCCTCCACTACGGCGTCTCTCATAATCATATAGTGGTTTTGGGACGTTAAACACCACATATCAATCAATCAAGGATCAAGAAAGGCCGATTGTTGTAAATTTCTTTAGAGTTCAATGATAGCTTCTTTGTGAATACCATAGATTATCGAACCTCACTTTGTGTATAATGCTTCAATGAAAAAAAAATGGTTTTACCCTGAGTCACTGCAGATTCAGAAGCCATCACATGGGCAGGCGTCATTAGGCCTCTATATAACATTGCTAAGGTTCAGCATATTTGTGCAAATAATTCTCGTTAATTGAACATTGAGTATAATCCTTGCTTGGGTTAGCATGTGTGAAACATAAATTTGAAATTTAAAAATTCTCATTGTGGGTTTCGGCAGCAAAGACACGTTGATTAAAACTGATGATTCCGGAGCTACGGCAGAGGTAACATTCGTTATGTTTTTTTTTTGGTTACGGTAATGGTAATGCGTTACCTTTTTTATGTATATATAGAACGTGGAGCCCTGAAACGTTACCCTTTTTTATTAGAGTAACGAGTAACGTATTTAGTTACTTTTTACTGTAACGGATACAAACCTCAATATACAGGCTTACAGGAGTGATGTCGGCCCACACCGTCAGTTGCACTCTATAGGCTGGCTGTAAACATTACATAGATATATTCCTTTCATCCAGCACGTGATAGTGAAGGTTCGCTCGACCATTGATGTTCTCAACCTTTGAGCAATACACAACAGCTTCTTAATAATATGCATATCATCCAACCGAAGCGTGCACTTCGTTTCGCTAAAATTTACAGTCAACGTGAGTGCTGTCGTCACGCCGTATGTTTTAGGTAAAAACTTAGCCTACTCAAAAAACCCAAAGACGTCAATCCACCTAGCAACGCGTGGTTACCCGCTGATGGTTCTGTAGGAAAATAGCATCCACAGTGGAGCCTGTCACATCTGCTGAAATTTTATCGCAACATTATTATACTGCCACTTCGCTTGTATTTTTATGTCACTGTCTTGCGTAAATACACCGCCATTGTGGTTCAGTAGCTAAGGTACTCGGCTGCTGACCCGCAGGTCGCGCGATCGAATTCCGCCTGTGGCGGCTGCATTTTCGATAGAGGCAAAAATGCTATAGGCCCATGTGTTCAGATTTGGGTGCATGTTAAAGAACCCCTGGTTGTCATAATTTCTGGAGTCCTCCACTTCGCCATCTCTCATAATCATAAGGTGGTTTTGAAACGTTAAACACCTCATATTAATCAATTGACTTGCGCAAAGCACGCTTGGCAGTCTGCGAAAATTCTAGATTATTTTAGAATCTTTTGATAAGCTTGAGACACCTACAATATGGATGATGTTCGATGCCACGGGTATATATGGCGACGTACCTTCGCGCAGATCATATTACCGATGACCAATGCTCTGATCACCGCTATCTGCGTAAAGCGTGAATTTCTAGTACTTTGTACTTTTCTAGGCATGTGTTCACGAAATAAAAAGTGTCGTCTTGAGCAACCCAAGTACCATATTCTTTGCCGTCGCAACCACTTGGCAATAAGGTAAGTAAGATGAGAACGGTGAAATGATTGATACAAAACAGTGAGATGGGGCGTAAGGGCATGGCCAAGTTTTATTTAAGATGTGTATACCACAAGCTATTTTCTTCTATAGAACCAATATAATGTGGATTTGTTAAATTACTGTGAAGTTGAATGTGAAGAAAGGAAGAACACAAACTTGGAAAGAGACAGTGGAGACGAAAAGTGATAGGTATCGAAATAAAGTTTGATCAGTGATTCCACGCCAAACGTCCAAGGTGTTTTGGCGGCTACCTCAGGTGTATTAAAAAAAATGTCGGGATGATTTACTCCATTGGAAGCAGTCTATTGCGAAAATGTTTTGCAGAGAAAAATATTTTGGTCACCTATATGTGACCAAAATGCCGGCTATAGTCTGGGCCCTATATAGAGACCTAAGATAAAAGCACATTTACTGAGCGAGTCTATGTAGGCTCCATTTATTTTGCCGACCCATGGTTCCGGATATTTAAAAACTCCTACTATGGCGTGCCTTGTTGTCGTATTGACGTTTTGGCTTGTAAAGCCCAAAACTTTATTTTTCAAATGATAAAACTGTTCATATCTCTCCCTCCCCGGAACTCATTCTAGGTTATTTGATAAACACCAGTCATATATATTTAAAAAATGCTTGGATATCAACTATTCATAACTCTAATTTAAGGATGTCGAAATCAAATGACCGTCACTAAATGACCGATGAGGTGAAACATTAACATTAAAAAGCATAGTAAACGTGACTAAAAAGCTAATTCCACGCTAAAACAATGTAACCTGAACTAATGATGTCACCACACATCTAAAACCTCATGCAATGTATATTGCATACCTGGAAGGTGCAGTTATTCAAGCGCTTTTTACAGTGAAATTCGGCCATGAAGTTAATCCCATTCATGGTGGTGCTATCTTTAAATTTGACGTTTGAATATATAACGAAGCATTAAGAAATTCTTTGCGTGAAACCCGTTTTTTTGCGATGTAATTGAGGATTGTATGCATTGTGCTAGCACG